GAAAAAAGGGTATGAAAAGTGCTCCGAGTCGCTGCAGAAAACAAAAAAATTGAACAACAACAAAAACTGGAAATGTTGCTGGAGACGGGCTTGTTGAAAATGCAAACTGATTCTCCGCCAGCAGGAGGCGCTTTTAGAGTGATAAAACTAGCGGTTTCTCCAGTAATGGCTGTAATCAAAGCAGCTCCGCTCATGAACGCTACTTTATCAGATCAAATGAAAATGCCACCGAAACTTTTCTGAAGACAGTCAGTTCCCTTCAGAGATACATTCATTTAAAACACCCGTGCCGCGTTATGATTTTGAAACGTGCAGTGCTCATGTTTATTCAACGAAGTCAAACTGCACAAATAAATCAATGTATGGGAAACACTGGTAATGTATATCGAAATATCGGAAATGTGTTTAAAAATCATATCACCTTTATTGAAAAAAATTATATCGCGATACATATTGATATTGAATTATTGTCCAGCCCTATTCTAAAGCTACTTATATTTCAGCTACTTTTTTGTAATGTCTATTCAGTGTTTTTTTTTTCTAAATTAACACGATAACTTATCTTTAATAATAACTTTAATCGGCACATGATGTGCATGTTAATTAATCTCATTAATTTGAGATTAATTTGATTAATTAATCGGCACATTATGTAATTCGATTTTTATTTTTAAATAAACACTTGACAACCCACCCCCACCCCCACCCCCCAAAGTGCTCAGTAATAAACTTCTGGCCATTTTCTAGAATCTAAAAGAGTTTTAAATGGTTAATTATTTTATTTTTCATGTATTCTGTCTTCCTGTGGTGATTAATGAGTGTTATTAATAGCTAAGCTATGTTTACACTGCAAGTCATGGGCTATTTCCTGTGGTTTTCATTTCTCCGTTATGGCAAATGTTCTTGGCTTCCCTTGTTCCTGCAGGGTTCAGCCGATTCGTACACGAGCAGACCTTCGGATTCCGACCTGTCAGCGGAGGAGGACCGCGAGGCGTATCGGCGTGAAGCCGAACGCCAGGCCCAGCTGCAGCTCGAGAGAGCCAAGGTTCCTCAAGCTCTTCTTTAATGGGCTTTTTCCAAAAAATTTTTTATTTTTTTTGCACAGTGGGCACACTGGGCAGCAGCAAAGTGCCATTCTGCATGTAGCTTTAGAAATGTGTCGGAAAAGGGATCATGCATACAAATGCAGTTCATGCAACAACATTTTCTTAGCATTTAGTTGTAAACCATAAGAGGATTATTTCATTGCTTCTTCTTGATGGTTGCTTATGTTGAAAAAATGGCATTAGTAACATTGGTTTCCCTGGCAGTCCAAACCTGTAGCATTCGCAGTGAAGACGAATGTGAATTATTGCGGGGCTCTAGATGAGGACTGTCCTGTTCAGGGGGCTGCCATAAACTTTGAAGCCAAAGACTTTCTGCACATTAAAGAGGTGAGTTGCATGTACAATACATGCAGACAGATGTGTGAAAGGTTTTGTAGGTCAGTCCTCTTTGCTAACAGTGCCCATAATACCACAATAGCTCATCATAATAGCGTTGAGCATGTTTTCCTTCATGTTTGTGTTGCAGAAGTATAATAATGACTGGTGGATTGGAAGGCTGGTGAAAGAGGGGGCAGACATCAGCTTCATTCCCAGCCCCCTCCGACTGGAGGCCATGAGACTCAAACAGGAGCAAAAACAACAGAGGTCTCTCTCTTTCCCTCTGTCAAGACTGTGCACAACTGTATCTATTTCAGACACATTTGCAACTGTTCATTGTTAGCTCAGGTCTATTAAATAATATTAACAAATACAACTTTTGATTTTAGTGATGTATTAGTAAATATTGCACATTAACTAAGATTAATACATTCTTTAGTGGTATTTGTGATTTTTAATTCATGTTGACAAATTTTTTAAACTGCTGCTAAAGAAATAGCTTACCCAAAAATAAAAATTTGCTGAAAATTCAGGCCATCCAAGATGTGAATGAGTTTTTTTTTTCATTAGAACAGATTTAGAGAAATGTAGCATTTCATCACTTGCTCACCAATGGATCCTCTGCAGTGAATGGGTGCTGTCAGAATCAGAGTCCAAACAGCTGATAAAAACATCACAATAATCCACAAGTAATCCACACCACTCCAAAATACGGGTCCATAATCCATAATAATGCTTCCTCCGGTGAAAATGTCAATCCCCTGTTGTCCTCTCACATCAAAACCCACAGGCATATTTGTTTAAAACTGTTTTTGACTGATTTTGCTTGTAACTAGTGCTTGATCTGTGCATATTTCTCTCCTGATTCAGACGAGATGACTTTTTTTCACTGCAGAAAGCACTATATGGATAGAGGGAATATGTTTTACCCAGAAGCAATGGTTTCAAGTTAAAAACCATCTTAATGATGGATTTGTTACTTGCACGCATGCAGTTTTTTTGCTTCAGAAGACATTAATTGATGGACTCGAGTGGTGTGGATTACTTGTGGATTATTGTAATGTTTTAATCAGCTGTTTGGACTCTCATTCTGACGGCACCCATTCACTGCAGAGGATCCACTGGTGAGCAAGTGATGTAACGCTTAATTCCTCCAAATCTGTTCTGATGAAAAACAAACTCGTATATATTTTGGATAGCCTGAGGGTGAGTACATTTTCAACAAATTTTCATTTTTGGGTGAACTATTCCTCAAATTGAACCTTGTTGTAAGGTATTACCAAATGTTTTTTCTGAATACTTTTATTATTTGAATAAGCTACATCTTTTGTTGCCCACATATCAAGTTATATCATATAAAAACGAAACACCCACTAAATCTGATGACTGAGTCCCCGTATTGTTATGGGAAAGCAAAGTGTCCAGTGGTTGCACATGTCAGAATTATACACATGCAGTGGGTCGTGTATTGTTCCAATACTGCTTGCATACTATAAAACTGGGAATACAAATTGAGATTGTACAAATACAGATGCCAGAATATGTCTAAATGATAATATTTTAATGAAGCTGACAATTCTAATAATGTCCAGATAGCTTGCCAGCTCTGTGAAGGCATTTGCTGTTGCTCTGTGATGGTGATAACATTTTTTCTTTCTCCGCAGGAAAAGTGGTAACTCCTCCTCAAGCCTGGGCGACATGGTCTCAGGAGGTTGGAGATCCACGCCGCCATCTGCAGGTGAGAGTGAGTATGACAGGGCCTGGGTACCATGCTGCTTTGCAGGGGATGTGTGTGGCTGGGAATGCTGCCCCAAATGAGCAAAATATCAGTAGGGCTGAAGATCAGTGAGTTTATTCTTCCCTTGCTTTTGTTCTTATTCTTTGCTCCTCTTCTTAACATAATGCATGTTCTGTCATAGGTTAAGCTTCCACAGTCAAATACAGTTGGTTAAAACCAGTAAAGGTTCAGCATAGAGTAAAAATATAAGCCGTTTTGCTTCTAAAATCTTCTGAATGCTGATTCTGATCTGTTCTCTTATTTTCAAAAGCCAAACAGAAGCTAAAGCAGGTAGGTGTTGATATGGATTTGTGTTCGATATTTTACGATAATCTCTCTTTATGGTTGGTCAGATCGATGCATACAATTCTGAAATCAGTAGAATATGTGTCTTTAGAAATTGCACTTGTCTCTGTGACAGGTCTAGATGCTTTAAATAGTAAGACAATATCTGACTTCTCATGCATCTCAGGAAGTTTAGCAGTTTGTACCAAGATTGTTGCCAGTCTGTGCTGATACATTACAGAAACCGTTTCTAATCCAGTATTTTGTAGTTGTAGTTCTGTGTGACAGTGCCACTCTTGTCTTTTTTAGACTGAACACATTCCTCCATATGATGTGGTGCCGTCCATGAGGCCTGTGGTTCTGGTTGGACCTTCACTGAAGGGCTATGAGGCGAGCACTAAATATTATACAGCCCTCTGAATTTGTCTTTAAAATTTGTTGTCTAATGTGTCGTGTCTGTCAACAGGTGACAGATATGATGCAGAAAGCCCTGTTTGACTTTCTCAAACATCGCTTTGATGGACGGTGAGTTTTAAAAGTCATCTTGACACCTTTCTTCTCTGTATACACAGAAGAATATTGTCAACATTTACTAATTTCTATGTCTTTACAATGAAATGTAATGGTGACAGGGTCTGCCAAGCTCCAGAAAGCTCATAAATATAGTCAATACAACTCGTGTGATTATGTTCCATGTTTTTGAAAGCATACGATAGCTTTGGCCGAAGAATCTTTCTTTCACATCATTAAATATATTAATGTATTGTTATGCTGACAGGATTTCTATAACCCGGGTGACCGCTGACCTTTCTTTGGCCAAGAGATCGGTTCTCAACAAGAGACCCATCATGGAGAGGTCTAACACACGAACTAGTTTGGGTGAGAACATCACACACACCCTTCAGAGCTCAACAATAAAGATGGCCCAAGGCCGTAACATCACCTGGAACATCAATTACCAGTTTGTTGATCTTGCATACTTAAACAATTGGTTTTATGTGATGTACTGAAAACTGTTACTGCAAATTCTGCTTATTTAAATATGTTAGGTTGTGTTAAAACTTTAAAGGAACACTCCACTATTTTTAAAAATAGGCTAATTTTCCAACTCCCCTAGGGTTAAACAGTTGAGTTTTACCGTTTTCGAATCCATTGAGCCGATCTCCGGGTCTGGTGGTAGCACTTTTAGCTGTAGCTTAGCATAGATCATTGATTCTGATTAGACCATTAGCATCTCGCTCAAAAATGACCAAAGAGTTTCTATATTTTTCCTATTAAAACTTGACTCTTCTGTAGTTACATCGTGTACTAAGACCGACGGAAAATGAAAAGTTGTGATTTTCTAGGCCGATATGGCTAGGAACTATACTTTCATTCTGGCGTAATAATCAAGGAACTTTGCTGCAGTACCATGGGTGCAGCAGGCGCAATGATATTACGCAGCGCCTGAAAATAGTTCCCAGCACGCTCCCTGTGCAAGCAGGTGGTCACGTTGGTTATGTTGACGGAAGTTAGTCTACTTTCATGCGCTGCGTAATATCCTTGCGCCTGCTGCACCCATGGTACGGCAGCAGAGTTCCTTGATTATTACGCCGGAATGAGAGTATAGTTCCTAGCCATATCGGCCTAGAAAATTGCTTTTTATTTTCCGTCGGTCTTAGTACACGATGTAACTACAGAAGAGTCAAGTTTTAAATAGGAAAAATATAGAAACTCTTTTGGTCATTTTTTAGCGAGATGCTAACGGTCTAATCAGATTCAATGATCTATGCTAAGCTACAGCTAAAAGTGCTACCGCCAAACCCGGAGATCGGCTGATAGATTCAAAAACGGTAAAACTCAACTGTTTAACTCTAGGGGAGTTGGAAAATTAGCCTATTTTCAAAAATAGTGGAGTGTTCCTTTAAGAATGAGAATAGGTTGCCAGAATGCTTGTGTTGTTGAGCTCTGTCAATACATTTGAGCTTTTGAGCATTTTCTCCCTACTTTTTCTTGGGATTTGTGTTTTGTGGATGCTATTTGTCTGTTTGCCCACTCAGCGGAAGTGCAAAGTGAGATCGAGAGAATATTTGAGCTGGCCAAAACTCTTCAGTTGGTGGTTCTAGATGCAGACACCATTAACCATCCAGCGCAACTAGCTAAAACCTCGTTAGCTCCTATTATTGTGTACGTCAAGGTCACCTCTCCAAAGGTGAGTCTGATGAGCTTGTGTGCACTATTTTAAGGAATATGCTGAAAATATATTAAAAAAAAAAACATCTGTCAGCAGCAAAATAAATCCTTCATTGTCAAAACTAACCCAGTTTCTTTGATTCTCGTTCGTCTTCTTTTTTGGCAGGTCCTACAGCGATTGATAAAGTCGAGGGGTAAATCACAAAGCAAACACCTCAATGTTCAGATGATGGCAGCAGATAAACTGACTCAGTGTCCTCCTGTAAGTTCTTCAAGTTTAAACACACACACACACGCACGCTTCCCTTAGGGAGGTGTTCAGAACTCTGTAGATTCAACATTAGTGTTAGTATGGTAATGTTGTCAGGATCCATTTCTTATAGATAATTTAATAGTTTTGGCATTTTACAATATTTCCTTCCCTTACAAAAGATGAAGATAGGCTGAAGTTTTTAGGGCTGCCAAGGTTTTACTTTATATACCAAAAAAAGTACTTTAAAAAAAATATATTTACTCCTCCTCATTTTGTTCTCTGGAACACAGATATTTTGAGAAACTGTAATGATTGCTCTTTTTCATGCAATTACAAGGAATAGTGACTGGAGCTTTCAGGTTTTAAGGACACAAAAGCACCATAAAAATATCATCTTTTTCAGGGATGTTTGTAATAAATTGGTTAATTTGGTTTACAAAACCAGTTCTGAATATTCTTTCATGAAGCCTCACCAATAAGAGCCAGGGTGGATGTCACTATTTTCATAACAACCTTTGTTGTCTTTCTCATGCAAAGCTACTGGATTAGAAAACTTAAAAAAATACTTATTTGGTGTTTTTTTTTCCTTTTTGAAGCCTGAAAGTACACATTCATTGCAATCTCATGGAAAAGAGTAACTAGTATTTATTATTTTAAATTTCTCCCATTTTGGTACTACTCAAGGGTTCGTAAATTGACAACAGAATGTAAATTTTGTTGATGACCTATTCAAAATAACATAATTTAGCTGTTTGTCCTCTTTATATATATATACCTGATTAGTTGAGGATTGCCAAAATGAGAACTAAGGGCATTCAATTTAAGGCACATCTGTTTGACTACATTGTCTTTTTTATTGTGTGTTATTTGGAAATGAAGGTACATTGTTAGCGAACTGGTGTCATTTTAAAGGGTTAGTTCACCCAAAAATGAAAATTAGGCTGCGTTTTACTCACTCCCGAGGCATCCTAAGTGTATATGACTTTCTTCTTTCAGACGAATCCAGTCTGAGTTATATTAAAAATAGTTTTTGATCTTTCAAGCTGTTTAATGCCCCTCAGCAGGTGTTGCATTGCTTCAGTCCAAAAGAACTTAAATAAAAATCGCCCATCCATAGAAAAAAGTGTCTCACACGGCTCCAGGGGGTGAACAAAGGCCTTCTGTAGCGAATCGATGCGTTTTTTAAAGATAAATATCCATATTCAAAACGTAATAATCACTTGAATCTAGCTTGCGCTCACTGTTGTAAACAGAAGCAGTTCTGGGGCAATGACGTATGAGGTCGGCTTTGCGCATGCGCCGCTCAGAAGTGACGCACGTGGAAATGCAGCGGAGAGATCAAAACAAAACAACGGTCAAGAATTAGAAATACAAAACGAGGATTTGTAAAGAAGAATGTCGGAGGATTTCGATATAAGCCAAGAGGAGACTGGTTTTCCTTTGCTAAAGTAAGGAAATTTTGCTTCCTTTGATCCTGTAAACAAACGTTGGTTTTCATGAGACTCAACGGCGCATGCACATTGCTGACCTCATGCATCATGCTCCCGGAAATGCTTCCATGTACAACTGTTGGCGCAAGCTACATTAAAGTGATTATTACGTTTTGAATATGGATATTTTTCTTACAAAAACGCATCGATTCACTTCAGAAGGCCTTTGTTCACCCCCCGGAGCCGTGTGAGACACTTTTTTTTATGGATGGGCGATTTTTATTTAAGTTCTTTTGGACTGAAGCAATGCAACACCCGCTGACTGCAATGATAGAGCTTTAAAGATCAAAGACAATTTTTAATATAACTGGATTCGTCGGAAAGAAGAAAGTCATATACACCTATAGGGTGCCTCGGGGGTGAGTAAAACACCAACAAATTTTCATTTTTGGGTGAACTAACCCTTTAAATTCTTCATTCTCACTTGATTGACTGGCCTTGCTACAGTTCTAGTGATGCAGACACTTGCTTTTCCAAACCACATTCTGACAAAAGTCATGTTGCATGTTGTTTCATAGAGCCATTATCCTACCTGTCGCTCAAAGTCATCTCCCATCATCTGACCACCATCACAAGATATTTTATATAATATCTTCTAATTCCATCCCCCGCATGTCATCTTCTCCTCCACCCTGTCTCCCCATCAGGAGATGTTTGATGTCATTTTGGATGAGAACCAGTTAGAGGACGCCTGTGAGCACCTCACTGAATATCTGGAGGTCTACTGGCGTGCCACTCATCTGCCTGGCACCACCCCTCTCAACCCTCTATTGGAGCAAAATCTGATGACCCCACCCTCAGCAGTCTCCAGTCTACAGGTAAGGTGGCTTTGTGTGGATGGTCGGAAACATTTAAAGAGTTTTGATATAAAGATATGAGAGAGAGCAATATGTTAGTTTGCATGCGCCTTTGGCTCTCAGGATAATCAAAGTAAGTTTACATGAAGGGATTGTGAAACTTGTGTAATAGCATGTCTTTAAGGAAGCTTAATAGCATACTAAATCACGATATTCACAATAGCCAACAAAATTGTCATGAATATATCATAAATATTCAATATTGTCCTTTTTATTTAAAAATGCAGACAACTACATTATTAAAAAAGAAACAAGATTGAGGTTTGCAATCACATATGCACTGACCTAGTTAGACCAGAGGCTACCAGACTTAGTATGTGTCCTCATCAATCAGCCAGGAAAGTAGTCCAGAGACTGTGCTAAACATAATCATCCAGAATATAGATGGTATTTGTATCAGCTTTGAGAAATATATCTTATATTTGTGATGTGTAGATCCATGTCTGCATCTACCGTATCTAAGATCCGATCAAATTCATTCAAATTATACAGCTGACCTCGAAAGTAAGAGGTTTCAGTTTCACAGAAAATGGTTTCAGGTCATAACTGATTTCCACTTGAATATGGGACACAGTTTGTAAGGTAGACATTCACTGTGGAGCTAAAAAATGCAAAATAAAGTTATTGGCACTACAGTTCTCAGAGTTTTGGAGCCCCCTGTATATTCAAAACGTCTCACTCCATTATAATGTTCTGCTTTAAGCAATAATTGGTCAATCCTATGTTGTGTTTAACAAAACAGATTAATTTTAAAACTGATAATTGTTCTTTTTGACAACAGGAAAGTGGTCATTAAACATTTGTCTGTTCTGTCCTTTCCTCTACTCCATATTTTCACTCTCTTGTCTTTAAGTTGTCTTGGGTCCAGAGATGCTTGTAATACTGATATGTTGTAAGTCTCAATCTGTCTGTTCTGTGTCTCATTCATGCCTGACATCTTTGCAGTTCTCTGAAACACAGGAATTAATTGAATGAACGCTTACAAACCTGCGGTGAGTAGGCGGGATGGTCAGACTGCCTTTCCCACTCAGACTGTTAAACAAAACCCCACCCTGATACTTCTTTACATCCTCCAATTCCTTCAATACCTCCAAATGGAAATGGCCATCTGGTATCCCCATTGGAAAAGCTCTTAAAATAACAAAATCATAAATGCAAATATATGATTTTGTTATGCTGTTGTTGGTGAAACATGTAGCCCATTCATAGTTTTTATGTGGCAATGCCATTTGCCCAGTGGGGAAAAGGGAGTAATACAAAAGCTTTATGTTTAAAATTATGCAGGCCTTAAAATGACTTTTGATTCTTTACACGTGTAATGATGTCCAATGACTTGTTTGCATTATTTATGCATTATTTTATTTGTAAGACTTTATGACTAAATTTGGTAATGGGAGAGTAAAATTATTTTTAAAACATACACCGTTCAAACTAGGCTGCTTATGTTGAAGTGTTCGGGATGTGGTTTTTAATGATGAGACCTTTTTTGTAATCAGGCTCTCAAAAAGTATATAAAAATTTGGATATAGATTTATCGGCCAACATATCGGTTATCGGCTTTCAAAAATAAGGGATTATCGGTTATCGGTATCGGCCAAAATTTTCATATCGGTGCATTCCTATTTTATTGTTAAGAAAACTCTTCCAAAAATACATTCAAATGTTCTCAATATGTAGTCAGTGTGTCTTAAGGTGTAGGAAATGTTTCTAAAGCCTCATTTCCACCAAGCGGTATGGTACAGTGCAGTACAGTATGATTCAGGACGGTACACCCTGATCTGGCTTTCGTTTCCACTGCCAACAGTACCGTGGTGTATGCCAGAAAGTAGTGATCGTCATCATTCTTGTTCGAAGAAGAAAGCGTGACACTGTATGTGTGTAAAAATATAAAATTCTAAAATACACTGTTATATTTTTGTGCTTGCGCACTCTGATGTAAACAAGCCCAACACGCATGAGCAGCATGGTGGAGTTAAGGCGGCACTTCATTCCCCTTGTTGTTGTCATTCCCCTTGAAGCACATGCAAGTGATGATTCTCTGTCAGCCAATCAACGTTCTGCAGTAAATCTAGCTCCACCCTTTAGGCAATGGACTACTGTTCTAGGTACCCCAACGAAATTGTCCCAAAAAAGTGGTACAGTACCATTCGCTATTTTAGTATCATTCACAACTTCTGACAATGAAAATGGAAATAATTGCATTACTGTACTGAACTGTACCACTTGGTGGAAACAAGCCATAAATGTGTAGGCAGCATTTCAAGTGGTGTAGGTATTACATCTTTAAGATGTAGGTAGCGTTTGTAAAGATGTAGGCAGCTTTCCTAAAGGTGTAGGCAGCATTTGCAAAGCTGCAGGCAGTGCATCTTAAAGTGTAGACACTGGGTCTAAGGTGTAGGCAGCATTTGTAAAGATGTAGGCAGCTTTTTTTTTAAAGGTGTAGACCAGGGATTCTCAACTCTGGTTCTCGAGGTCCACTTTCCTGCAGGGTTTAGCTCCAACCCTAATCAAACACACCTGACCAAGCTAATCGAGGTCTTCAGGATCACTATAAAGTTACAGGCAGGTGAGTTTAAACAAGGTTGGAGTTAAACATTGACCTCAAAACCCTGGTGTAGACATTTTGCATTTGCAAACATGTTGGCCAGAGGTCTCCAACCCTGCTCCTGGAGAGCTACCTTTCTGCAGACTTCAGTTCCAACCCCAATCAAACACACCTGCCTGTAGTTTTCAAGTTACCCTGAACACCTTTATTAGTTGGTTCAGAACTTCAGATGCGTTCGAATAAGGTTGCAGGACAGTAGCTTTCCAGGAGCAGAGTTGGAGATTTTTTAAAGATGTAGGCCAGGGGTATCAAATTAAGTTCCTAGAGGGCCACTGTCCTGCAGATTTGAGGTCCAACCCAAATTGAACACACCTGAACCAGCTAATCAAGGTTCTCAGGATTTCTAGGAACTTCCAGGCAGGTGTTTTAGAGCTACACTCCACAGGACAGTGGCCCACCAGGACCAGAATTTGTAGGCCAGGGGTAGGCAAGTTCAGTCATGGAGATCTGTGTCCTGCAGATTTCAGCTCCAACCCTGAAAGAAATCTCACCCATCTGTAGCCTTAGTAATCCTGAAGAAATTGATGAGCTTGTTCAGGTGTGTTTGATTAGGGTTGGAGCTAAACTCTGCAGCACTGTGGCTCTCTAGGACCAAACTTGTCTAACCCTGGTGTAGGCAATGTGTCTTAAGGCAGTGGTTAGACCAGGGATAGGCAACGTCGGTCCAGGAGTGCCGCAGTCCTGCAGAGTTTAGCTCCAACATTAATCAAGCACACCTGAACAAGCTCATCAAGTTCTTCAGGATCACCGGCTAGGCTACAGGCTGATGAGGTTTTTTTTTAGGGTTGGAACAAAACTCTTCAGGACATTGGCACTCCAGGACCGACGTTGCCTATCCCTGGATTAGACCGTTCCTAACCTTGTTCCTTGAGTGTTGGGCAGCTCCAGGAATGTGGTTGCGAACCCCTGTCTTAAGGTGTAGGCAATGTTTCTAAATGTTTGGCTGCATTTGTAAAGGTGTAGGCAATGTTTATAAAGGTGTAGGCAGCATCTGTAAAGGTATAGACAGCATTTGTAAAGATGTAGGCAGCATTTGAAAGTGTGTAGGCGGCATACCTGAAGGAGAAGGCAGCTTTTATAAAGCAGTAGTCAGTGTTTGTAATGGTTTAGGCAGCATTTCTAAAGGTGTGGGCAGCTTGTCTTAAGCCCTAAACACACTGCACAAAGACGGCTGTTGTCTCGGTCTTGTGACCAAAGATAGCCTACGATACAGCATGATCATCACACCGTGTGTTTGCTGGTACGATCCACGTTTACTGACCAACACAAAAAAATGTGACATGAAATCAACACGACATGGTGCTAAAACATAAAACTGCTTACCCCAAGCTCTTATCTCTTCTTCTTTCGCCGCTTCCATACATAAAAAATACAATTGTTAAAGTGTGATTTATCATGCTCTTTTTGTTTACCACTAGCACATGCTGATGACGCTTTATTCTTTTATAGTAACATGTGTCGTAGCGTACGAGTCGTCATACAGTCTACACACACGTCGTAGCCCAGTTTATTAGATCCATGTCACACAGTGTGACATGCAGTGATCTTATTGGATTGCTAAAATCGTGCAGTGTGTTTTGGGCTTTAAGGTGTTGACAATGTTTCTAATGGCGTAGGCAGCATTGGCAAGGTAAGGGTGTAGGTGGCGCATCTAAAGGTCTAGGCAGAATATCTAAAGGTGGAGGCAGAGTTTGTAAAGGTGTAAACAGCATTTCTATGGGTTGGAGGTCAGAAATGAACTGGATTAAATTCAGGGCAATAGTCACATGCTTTCTGGCACTTCCTAGCCGTCCATTTCACTCCTCATTGAAACTTTTTCTGTCAAATGATGCAAACTTCCATATGACAGTGCAAACTTTCCATTTGACAAGGCCTACTTTTTCAATGATTTCTATCGTGTTATGCACTTACTATGGAAGCCCGTTTCTGCCACTGAATAAAAAAATATAATTCTGTAAGTCATAATAATGAGAAACGTTCTCAAAATTATGACTTAGTATTAAGTCATTATTTCGAGAAAGTTTCTCATTATTACGAGAAACTAAGTCATTATTATGAGAAAATAAGTCATTATTTCGAGAAAGTTTCTCATTATTACGAGAAACTAAGTCATTATTATGAGAAAATAAGTCATTATTTCGAGAAAGTTTCTCATTATAACGAGATACTAAGTCATAATTTTGAGAAAGTTTCTCATTATTATAACTTACAGAATTATATTTTTTAATTCAGTGGCGGAAACGGGCTTCCATAACTTACCCCTCTACATTTTTCGCTTAATTTGCTGGGATTAGAGCGAGCTGCACACACAGTCATCTCTGACTGCTCTGTTTATGCACCTTGTTGAGTGATATTAACACCATAGAACCTCTATGAGTTCACAAAGCAGATACAGCTGCCTGATTTCCTGTGTTATAAAGAAACTTGTTGATTTTATGACTTTGGAAAAGAGGCTGTATCTGGCCACACAGACTGATGCTTTGTGAATGTAACAACCCTTCTAACTTCCCTTTGAATGCAACCTCCTTGTTTCTGAAACTAACCTGAATCTTTTTGCTCCAGAGGAAAATGCATAGCAATCTGTAATGCACAGTAGTTTGATCTTAAGACTTAGAACCTAAAGGCTTTGTTCAGACAGGCAGCAAAAATGAGATTCTTGCCACATGTGACTCAAATCCATTCAACAGCTTATGCACTTTTGACAAACCCAATCCAAACCACTTTCAAAGATTATGACAGTTTGGACAGTCAGTCTTTAAGATTGGATTAAAAAACAAGTCTGATTTATGTGCAGTATGAACAAAGCCATAGCACTCAGTCACTTAAAATTTCCTCATTGGTAAGACTTGTCTCCTAAAACGTCTTTTCACCTCTGTGCACATTATGTGTTTTATATTTGTGTGTTTTTTGTCTTTACGGGATCTCCTAAATGAGACATTTTTCTTTGGAGTGAAACAGAATGAGGAAACATGTGACCTCAATATGGTTCAGAGTTGTCATCTTTCTCTTTCTGTCTCAGAACCAGCAGCTGTCGCCTGCCGGGGGTGGAGGGGGAGTGGAGGAGGAGGAGCAGGGGGAACAGGACAGCCTCATGCCCTCCGACGAAGCCAGTGACTCTCGCTCCCTCCGTCAAGGCGGCTCTAGCTCCCTGCACCCCCAGGAAGAAGAGGAAGAAGAGGAGGAGGAGGAGGAAGAGGAGGAGGAAGAAGAGGAGGAAGATGATTACGAACCCCACCACCACCCTCACCCGTACCGGGATGTGTATCCGCCCAACCGTAATCACCCTGGTGGAATCCACAGCGCTAACGGACACGAGTCACAGGACCGGCTCCTGCAGCAGCGAGACTCGCAGGACGGACACAACCAACGAAACAACCACCAGCGCACGAGAGCCTGGCCAAGAGACAACTACTGACCGCCTGTCTGCAGGAGTCTGGATGGGAGGGTTGGGTTGTGAATTGGGGCGAGGGGTGATGGGAATTGGTGAGGAACAGGAAACGCACAGTGTGTGTGTATGTATGCGTGTGAATGCGTGTTTGTGGATGAAGCTGCCCATGGTTGATGAAAAGATCCTGTTGTTTTCTAAGCTTATGTAGTTGTTATTGTTTGAGGCATTGTACTACATTTGCTTTTAAAAGACAGGGCAGCTTTTCTCCTTTAAGATCACATGCATGTTCATAGCGAAACAACATTTGAGCTTCCTATGAAACCCTACCCAAGTCAATTTTATTTTTATTATAAACTTTATTATTTTGCATATCATACGCTCTCCCTGATCTAATGAGCACAGAAGGCATTATGGGAAAAGCACTTTTATAGCATGGGGTGTGAGTCACAATGAAAGATATTGTAGCATTTTGTTGCATCTTTAATGGCTTCTCTTTTGCTAGCGCTAGTATTACTCACGATTTTTTGGTTCAAGCCTTCAGTCATGGTGTTGCCTGATTGGAGCCCGTATGCACTTGTCTTATTATGAGTTGTTTATTGGTCCTCCTCTGGACATCATTCAGGCAACTGACATGAATAGGCATTTTCACAGTCACGTTCACAGATGTAGCAAACATTGCCATTTGCAAAGCACCATGTAAATGCAGTGTATGTAGGAAAGGAATTCAGGTTTATGCTCTGCTGTCGTAGAGTGAAATATTATTTGGACTATAGTCTTGGTTTGCACATGAGGTGAATTTCAACTCCAGAATGAAGAGAAGCAGTCGATCTTCCTACATTTCCGTACTACTGCATACAGAAAGAACCTAATTAGGTCAGTGTCACTGGTTTCTTTTTCTGGGAAATGAGAAGGACTGAAAACTGAAGTTATTTTATCATCCAACAGTGGATTAGTACCCATATATTGGATTTTTATATAAGTAGATGAACCTCAGATTTGATGTCCGTTTTGGGATAGTCATGTTGTTCCTCTGTGACTTGATTGAGTTGAAAGTTGGTCTAGGTTCATATATTATACACATTTGCAAGTAATTTATTTGTTGACTTTATCAAAGATAACAGCCAATTGCCTTAAGGCATCTTGGTCTGTTTTTGAACTTGCATGCACATTAGCTAGACTAACCTGATATTTATAGCTAAAGAAGCTAAATTTAGATTTTTGTATCATTGTTTCTGGGTGATTTGAACATTTTTTGAATGGTTGGCAAACAGTTTTGGCGAACTCTCTATTTAAGTAGATAGGAGTTGAACTTGCATGATTGGAAACTAGCATTACCAAAATGGCCACTGAATAAACTGCCTCAGAAGGAATTTGTCTTTACCAAGAAGAATGTGTCTCTAACAAGTGAGGGATCTTCCTCTGCCCTCCATTTCTCGCCACTCTTTCCTCTCCGAGGCTCTGGGCGTCTAAGGGGGCGGTTACCGTGGCCTACTTTAAAACAGAGCGTCACATCTTTCTTTGGCGACACGTTGACTGCTAGCTAGTTTAATTACCTTAAAGGGTTAGTTCACCCAAAAATTAAGCTGCGTTTTACTCACCCCCGAGGCATCCTAGGTGTATATGACTTTCTTCTTTCAGACGAATCCAGTCGGAGTTATATTAAAAATTGTCTTTTGATCTTTCAAGCTGTTTAATGCCACTCAGCGGGTGTTGCATTGCTTCAGTCCAAAATAAGTTAAATAAAAAAATCGCCCATCCATAAAAAAAAACTGTCTCACACGGCTCCGGGGGGTGAACAAAGGCCTTCTGTAGCGAATCGATGAGTTTTTGTAAAAAAAAATTCCATATTCAAAACGTAATAATCACTTTTTCAGCTTGCACCAACAGTTGTACATGGAAGCATTTCCGGGAGCATGATGCATGAGGTCAGCAATGCGCATGCGCCGTTGAGTCTCATGAAAACCAACGTTTGTTTACAGGATCAAAGGAAGCAAAGTTTCCTTACTTAAGCAAAGGAAAACCAGTCTCCTCTTGGCTTATATCGAAATCCTCTGACATTCTTCTTTACAAATCCTCGTTTTGTGCTTCTAATTCTTGACCGTTGTTTTGTTTTGATCTCTCCGCTGCATTTCCACGTGCGTCACTTCTGAGCGGCGCATGCGCAAAGCCGACCTCATACGTCATTGCCCCAGAACTGCTTCTGTTTACAACAGTGAGCGCAAAAAATCTCCCTTTTTTATGGATGTGCAATTTTATTTAAGTTCTTTTGGACTGAAGCAATGCAACACCCGCTGAGTGGCATGAAACAGCTTGAAAGATCAAAGATAATTTTTAATATAACTCCGACCGGATTCGTCTGAAAGAAGAAAGTCATATACAGGATGCCTCGGGGGTGAGTAAAACGCAGCCTAATTTTCATTTTTGGGTGAACTAACCCTTTAATGGTGGTTACATTAGCATATGGGTGATTCTATAACTGGAGATACATTTGGCATTGCAGAAAGTTAAGAAAAAAAACTTTTCACTAACAGATTTTTTTTTCAGTATCTTTTTGAAAACATTTAATTTTAATAATTCAGTGCTTGCCAAACACAAGTTACTTCCTTTTTTTTTTTAAACTTTTAATGAAAAAACAGATGTCTTTATGGTATTGTTTGTCAACTCTGTTACGGACAAATTAGCCAATGTGTAGAAATAATAAATCATAACAGGAAAAATCCTTCTTGTTTTATTAGACCTGGTCCTTAATCTCAATCTCAATTTCAAATGGTCCTTACATTCCATCACTTGAAACTGAGATAATATTTCACCTATGCATACCTTTAAAATAAAATTATAATATGTCTTTACAGAACCGTCCACTTGGAGCAAATATTTTTCATCTGAAAATGTATTATATACAATATCCAGTTAAAAAAAGAAATGTTGTTGAAATATTTAAGGGTGCAAAAATAAATCAATAATGTTTATTAGGATTTTAAACAACAAATTTATTGTTTTTTTGTGAAAATAGTTCATAAACAGAGTTGGCCCTTTTCCCAAAATAAAGTTACTTCTTTTTTTTTTTTTTTTTTTTTTAAACAGATGGCTTTATGGTATTGTTTGTCAACTCTGTTACGGACAAATTAGCCAATGTGTAGAAATAACAATAAATCATAACAGGAAAAATCCATCTCGTTTCATTAGACAAACAGTCCTTAGATTCCATCACTTGAAACTGAGATAATATTTCACCTAGGCATACCTTTAAAATAAAAAAAAATACCTATGTCTTCACAGAACCGTCCACTTGGAGCAAATATTTTTCATCTGAAAATGTATTATATACAATATCCAGTTAAAAAAAGAAATGTTGTTGAAATATTTAAGGGTGCAAAAATAAATCAATAATGTTTATTAGGATTTTAAACAACAAATTTATTGTTTTTTTGTGAAAATAGTTCATAAACAGAGTTGGCCCTTTAAGTAACAGAATTGTAAAGTAACAGAATTGACAATTGTCCGATGGACTGTCAATTCTGTTACCGCATTGTCAGCATTGTTACTCTACCTTGGTAACAGAGTTTGACAGTAACAGAATAGACTATTTTCTTTATTTTTTGCCAAAAACTCCACTTGCTAGCATAAATGCTAAGAGCACATGGCACTAATGAAATCATGATTAAAAGACTTTTCAATAACACAAAGTGGGATCAATGAAAAAATCTGTTTTCCTTTTGATATTGTGGTAACAGATTTGACAGTTTATAAAATAACTCTTGGTGTAAGAACTTTTAGATTAAAATATTTTCTTAGCGAGAGCACAGAGACTTTTCAGTGCTTCAGATCTTAACTGTGAGGGAAAGTGACATAATTTCCTGTGTCTTACATAGTTGTGGGAGATAATTCCACTAATTTAAAGGCAAAGTATAGTACGGTAAAAGAGTTGACGCAAGATTTACGGACATATTTTTATAAGAAAAAAGTTATTTTTAAAAAAAATAATGTTGTAGAATTAGGTAAATTACTCTTTAGGAATATTTTGAAATACTACAAAAAAGTACAATAAAATATTTTGATTACACGATACATGATGGACTAATTCGGACAACAACAAATAATGATTTTCAGCTATTTAAGACACTTTTTGCAAAAAATATTATATTGTTATGGACTGTAACATCTTGTAATTCATAACAAGGAGTAACACAGTATTAAAATAATAAAAAATATAACCATTTGAAAAAAGCAGAAAAAAAATAATGACTTCGGACACCAAATGTACCTGCAATTATAGAATCACTCATATATCAACCAGGTTGTGTTACGACCAAATCCAAGAAAGTGTGTCCCTTTTCTCATTACCATAACTCTAGACTCGGATGTTACCTGTAGCAGCTTAGGCTAAGGTTTATCCAGTGTAGGACCATTCAAACTGGCCTTAATACTTATATCTTTACCACTGCATGTCTCAAATACAATTATTTAGGACTATTTGCACATTAGGGTTGGAACAGGACCTTTAGAACACTTTATAAGTATATTAGAGTAGAAAAATCTACTCCGTTTTTTGTTTTTAATTTAAACAGAACATTAGTAAAGCATCTAAGAATAGCTAGTGTGTATATATATATATATTGAATGAAATTTCACCAGATCATGAATATAATTCTTTAAAAATGTTACTTTACCTTGTATTTATGGATCTGTATGGTTTTGAAGAAATGTTGCGATGTTTACAAAGTCAGGATTACTCTCACTCAGTGATCGTTGATGTGAGACGCATTGAAATATATGTTACGTCAGTTGTTGTACAATTATGTAAAGTCACATAAAGTTGCAGTACACTCTCATGTAGCGCTGTAGGTGTCAGTTTGGTTCTTTTGGAAGAAAACTTACAGTTAAAATATCCAAGTATTATTAATTGTTGTGATGGCCTCTAGATTTCAGTGCATATCCAAAAATCGCCATCCAGAAAGAGAAATCCTTATTTTTCTCCAGAATTACTCAATTTAATGCAATGCTTATACATAGGACGTGTATTTAAGTATGATTTCACATGGACTACACAGTTCCTTCCAAACATGCACAGAGACTTGAGTGAATGTATAGTTGCATGCCTTAACACTTCTAGTCCTAAGCAAAACTGACTGTCCCTCAGTTGATTGTGTTGCATTGATTGATTGTACTGGATCCGTACACTCCCAGAATGCACTTTCAGAAACATCTGCCCTCATTTTAGATTGTAAAGACTTGTCTTATTGACCAGAATTGATGCCTGATATGAAGATTGAGCCATCAGTGTGTCCAGCGTAGTATTAGGACAACATCACTACCATGTATGTTAGCATCGTAGCTTAATGCTGGAGGGTTTTCATGTATATACCGGAAATACACTGAAATCCAAACAGGGAAAACAACACTTGGCTACTACATTATACTGACGTGGTGAATGCTGAAGCCTGAAACATACTCTACGCAAGTACGTGAACGCAAGTTTCATCGTTTCAAAAGGGCCTTTCATAGTACCAGAATTAAATGTGGAACTACCTACTTTTTGGCGTTTTCACACCGCCGGTGTTCTGACGATTTGTGCTACCCTGTCAGATTTTGCTACCTCCCATTAAAACAGATAGTAGCATAATTCGATAGCGAAAAGTGCTACCTATCAGATTTTGCTTCCAGCATGATATTAATAAGGTGTGAGGCTTTAGTAACATGTACACCTACCCTTACAGTAGGATAAATACAGTCTAGGTAGCATAATCTGATAGGTAGCATTATTTGTCAGAACACCGGAACTGGGTGTGATTTTAGTACCGGACTGCCTTTTTCAAGAACCAAATTAGCTCCTACTCCGGAGCAGGGTCTAACCAGCACAACTGGTACTACCCGTGACGTAAGTAGACATTGATTGGCCAAACACGTATGAAAACGCCCTCACCCGCCATGATTTAAAACGCTGTGTAAACATACTGTAAACATTGTGTCAACTTATTTCGCAAGTATGGAGAACAGCGATAGATGGACGGACGCTGAAGTGCAGGCACTTGTAGCAAATGTAGCACTGCCAGGTGTCGTTGGAGATTCTTAGTCCTCCTTTCCATTCTTTCAATCGCTTTACGTATACGTCGACTTTCCATGTCCATTATTGTGAAACCCACGAGACTCAACAAAAACACAGCTCTGATCACAGCGTCCTCCATCCTCCTGTTGTTAATGTTGTTCTTCTTTGTTTCTGTTGTTGAACGCCGCGCACAAATGACGTCGCTGTCGACCGGCTTACGTCACTTCCTAGTACACACTGTCGGTGCGAATGCAACCCTTTAAATGGTACTGGGAAATAGTTTGCGCAAAATCGTCCCAGTACTTTAGTACTGTACCATTTAGTTCTGGAACTAAAGCGGTGCGAAAGGCCCTAAAATGTGTCAGATCGCAGTTCTCTTCAAACTATTGCTCTGCCAAGACAGTCATTGATGTGATAGAGAAACTTACCATAGAAGAAGATGCAGTGTATGCTATAGTGCCCCTTGTGGCAATACTGAGAATGTAATACCAATTACATTGTTATAAGCATTTGTGTTTGCGTACAATAATCTATGTAGACTATGTTTCAGAACTAAAAGAGCCTTTCCATGTCAGATTGAAGAAATCACCCAATTACCTGTTAACAACCCACATTGTGCGTTGATCTCAGGTCATTAGACAAGTCACTGTATCTTCCCAGCTCTTGCCTTTCTAACATAAGTTCAAATTGATGTAGATTGTGTCACGGCTCTGGACACTGTGTTTACAGCACCGATCTTGAACAAAAACTTTGCATCGGCCATTTAGAGGGTCATGGGAAATGTACATGTTCTGGGGTGTGTAAGTCAGGGTAAAAGTCCACTAACAAATGCCTTGACCAATCCTCTCTTTTAGTGTACTGCAGCTTTATTTGCGATCAACATGTCTCACTTTAATCTATTGTTCTATATTTAAAAAGTAAAAAAAAAAGAAAAAGAAAATCAGAGCATGACTGAAAAAAAAATCTCTATGCAAGTGTTGCATGTGATCTGATTGTTTCTTTCGATTGTTTCTGATCTACTTTAGTACTGCATTGATTCTTGGTGTAAGTATTATTCTATTTAGTAAGACAATTCACCCTCTTTTATACTGAGCACAGACAAGGGGCTTCTGCCGCAAAGTTCATTTTCTTTGAGTTGCTCTTTTTCAATCTCATGGGCTTCAATACCTCCACTGTTATTTATTTATTTATTTATTTGAACACTTAACCATAGCACATATTTGGATTGATGTAATAAAGAAATGTTCCAGGTTCAAGTTAAGCTGTAATACCACATAACTTCAACATTACATATAATAATTAGACTGAAAGATAAAATTGCTTACTAACCTTATATGAAATTATATCTAATTTTCAACTCCTGTCATGATCATGAAAAGCATAATCACAGAAAAACATAATCAGGCATTCATTCGTATAAAGTTTCTGTAATTGATATAAGCACTTTAACAAAACCCTCTAGAATGTTTTGCTCCATAGACTTCCATTGTGTGTCCATTACTTACATGTGATTTTTGAGAATTGTGTGTCAACAGAATTCAGCTTGTTTTTAACTTGGAACATTCCTTTTAATAGCATTGATCAGAGACTTTTATGTAAGTCAAGAACTTGCATTGTTGTAGTTGAAGACAGAGAAAAGAGATGATTTATATGATCCACAATGCACAGTGTAAAAGAGCATGTGTACTGTGTGATAAACTGTATGAGGTTCTGTCACAGTATAATCTAAAAACAAGATTTGCATGTCTTGATACATGTAAATGTACATGATACAACATGTCCCCCCCTATATCTGTTATGGCATAACATTGTTTTCTAGTGGACCAATACAGAATCCATAACAAACGCTGATTATTATTTTTTCTTTCTGAGGTATTAAGAAGCACAATTTTTACAATGGCTATTATTTGAGTCTTTTGTCTTCGATTCTGTATGCAATACAAACACGCCTTAGAACATTAACACTTCCTCTCCTGTGTAAGTAGAGAAAAAGAGATTGCACTATTTAGTTTTATGTTTTGACGTCTGCTTTGTAATGCAATAAATGCACTATAGGTAGAACAATTACAATGGACAATTAATTGGTCCTCAGGTGTGATGTAGGTACACACTTTCTCTCTCTCGCCCCTTCATCTTTCTGACAACACAAAAAAATACAATCCTGCCTGTTGCTGTATATGCTTTCTATTTAAAGAAAATGCCACTAATTATAATAAAAAAAAACATTTTATGTACTTTTAACAGTCCAGTCGTGTCTCAATTGTTTAATCATTGCTCACATTGATTACAATGGGGTTTTTGTTCTGTTTTTCTTTCTTTATCTTTTAAAAATATACCAAAGAATTACGCATCACTGCTGTTTTATCTTACAAGCGTTGAAGTAACAATATTACTTTAACTAATTACTAATAAGATTTCAGTAATAATATTATTAATGTTCCAAAGACTCCATCTGCTTCACAAAAGGTGCGCTCATTATAATGATAAATATCATTAATCATTTTAAACTGAACTTTTACCTTCGGTAGAAGTGGAAGAGAGAAATCCTGTTTTAATTTAAACCACTTTATCTTCAGGAAAATCAAAAACAAGAGATCTCTTATCTATAAGGGAAAATCTGTATTTACAAATGTTCTTAAAACCTTATTTTTACAACTCTGCTCTAAAACATACCAGAGATGATTCAATTTCCTTATCTTCAATGCACCTTTAATCAACTGAACCAAACCAGCAGGAAAAGCTTTCAACAGAGACATATAATTCCCGAGTACAAATAATATTGTATTTTCACAAAAATCATTATAACTAAGGAAATTTCCATCCCCATCCATAATGTGTACAATGGACCTGACACCTTTGTCCATTCAGTCCTGGAAAAACACAGATTTCCCCTTAATACACTTATTCCACAAAGAACAACTACGTGGCGAAAAGTTGTGTTTGTATAATTTCCAATATAATATTACCTGACTGTGAAAAGATGATCATTTACGCTTTAATTTTGATGGCTCAAAATCACACCTTAAGGGGATAGTTCACACAAAACTGAAAATTCTGTCAATAATTACTCACCCTCACGTCGTTCCAAACCGGCGTTTAACTGGCATAAAATTACGGTTGAACCCCTGATAATTCGAAACTATTGCGAGTAGTCTTCGTTTCATAAGTGACCTGCACTCATTATTAATCTTCACAAAAAATTAATTTCTAAATTTGTTTTAGAAAAGCACCTTTAAGTCGATTTTTCACAGTCCTGTCAGTTCCCAGTGAATAAAAATCAATACCCTCCATTTTGTTTTCAGGAAAATACACAAAAGAGACAGAATTTACTCTAGTTTCATGTTGGCTTGTGAAATCCATTTAAAATGTCTTGTTATAATTTGGCTGTGTAATTTATGTAACTGCAGAACAGATTATCGTTAAAGATTTTTACACATCAATCTGCTATCAACCACTCATATAAATATAATTAAATGAATTTCAAACGACAAATTACTCGGTCTAAAGGACTTTATTATTTATGCACAGAGTGAATTGTTTTACTCATCCTTTGACTGAAATGGAGTATCTACAGATGCATTAATCATTTGGTATTTTTACATGATTTAAAACACAATTACATATAATGTGTAAAAAAGAAAAGATGTGTGCCGTTCTACAATGTCATGTTTGACTAACTGTGCATCAAGGGATGACTTCTCTCTGCTACAGCTTTCTTACAGATTTCTACACTTGTCATTGGTTTATCTGCCAGAAAACGGATCCCCTGGTTTACTGGTGGTCTCTTATAAACTTGGTTGCAAATAATCTGGTGGTAATACACAGCACACTCACACTCACACTCACTTGGCTCAAGCAAAGATGGTCTCCTCTCTCCTCTTCTTGGTAAGGATGGTGCCGGGCTTGTGCTGGGCGTCTGGGTGATTGGCGAGTGGGAGCGGGCAGTTGGACACGGGACTTTCTAAGATGGCCTGCTTCAGGTCGTAGAAAACAGAAGAGTCTTCTTTGGTCAGGAAAGTCATCGCCATACCACTCTTTCCAGCACGACCCGTTCGGCCAATACGATGGATATAGTCTGAGAAACGAAACACAGTTGAATATTAATCCTCCAAATAGGAATGTGAAACAGGAAGTCTCCTGATATAACCATTTGACAGTTCTAAAGGGCAAAGGATAAAAAGTGACAAAAGCCCTATTCAGACGGTAATCTAGCTACTAGCTAGTGGGTACGAAAGTTATTTTCACCATTTACAGGGGGTCGTCTGTGATTTTATTGCCGTCCGAATACAGAATGTGTGTTTTTCTTTCACCGTCCGCGTAAAAACCCCGGTCCGAATAAACTAATGTTTTGTGATAAACACTAGGGTTGTGTGATAATTCAATTGCCGTCCGAATCCGCATCTGAGTTTATGAGAAAAATTCAGTGTTGAAACCCTCTTTGACCACTCCCGAACACCATACGGTAACTGTTGTACTTCGCTGTAATTTGCATGCATGTTTATTTCTGAAATGCTGGAAAGTATTTACAAGAACAATATTTTATAACTGCTCCACCACAGCGAGTGGGAGCAGAAAGAGAAGAAAAGCACGTAAACATTCAACATGGGTGTTTATAATGGCAGCAGCAGGTATGCAATGCAGTATTAAAATGTATATTCTATAGTTATATAGATAACTATATCGCGTATAATTATATACAACTATAGTGGCATCTATTTTCCTTTTTTTTGTTTTGGATTTAAATGATCAAATAATAAATATATATTCTAAAATATACTTGGACTAATAAAAAGTCATTTTTAATACATTTAGATGGACGGAAAAAAAATGGTATATAAAATTAATTTTAATTACAGCAGAAAATCATGTGACTAGCCACGTTAGTAGCACGTTCATGGGTTCGTAGGAGGCTAGGATCACAGAACTGGCTTCTCCACTGTGAATAAATCACCATCTGAATCCAGGAGTTTTATCACTGAGGTGCAATGTAAATTTATTTTTAGAGACGTCCACATGAGAAACAATTACCGTCCGAATAGGGCTAAAGATGATGATGGACTCACCTTCAATGTTCTTGGCCATGTCATAGTTGAGGACCATGGCCGGGCTTGTGCTGGGCGTCTGGGTGATTGGCGAGTGGGAGCGGGCAGTTGGACACGGGACTTTCTAAGATGGCCTGCTTCAGGTCGTAGAAAACAGAAGAGTCTTCTTTGGTCAGGAAAGTCATCGCCATACCACTCTTTCCAGCACGACCCGTTCGGCCAATACGATGGATATAGTCTGAGAAACGAAACACAGTTGAATATTAATCCTCCAAATAGGAATGTGAAACAGGAAGTCTCCTGATATAACCATTTGACAGTTCTAAAGGGCAAAGGATAAAAAGTGACAAAAGCCCTATTCAGACGGTAATCTAGCTACTAGCTAGTGGGTACGAAAGTTATTTTCACCATTTACAGGGGGTCGTCTGTGATTTTATTGCCGTCCGAATACAGAATGTGTGTTTTTCTTTCACCGTCCGCGTAAAAACCCCGGTCCGAATAAACTAATGTTTTGTGATAAACACTAGGGTTGTGTGATAATTCAATTGCCGTCCGAATCCGCATCTGAGTTTATGAGAAAAATTCAGTGTTGAAACCCTCTTTGACCACTCCCGAACACCATACGGTAACTGTTGTACTTCGCTGTAATTTGCATGCATGTTTATTTCTGAAATGCTGGAAAGTATTTACAAGAACAATATTTTATAACTGCTCCACCACAGCGAGTGGGAGCAGAAAGAGAAGAAAAGCACGTAAACATTCAACATGGGTGTTTATAATGGCAGCAGCAGGTATGCAATGCAGTATTAAAATGTATATTCTATAGTTATATAGATAACTATATCGCGTATAATTATATACAACTATAGTGGCATCTATTTTCCTTTTTTTTGTTTTGGATTTAAATGATCAAATAATAAATATATATTCTAAAATATACTTGGACTAATAAAAAGTCATTTTTAATACATTTTACACAATAAGAAAAAAATGGTATATAAAATTAATTTTAATTACAGCAGAAAATCATGTGACTAGCCACGTTAGTAGCACGTTCATGGGTTCGTAGGAGGCTAGGATCACAGAACTGGCTTCTCCACTGTGAATAAATCACCATCTGAATCCAGGAGTTTTATCACTGAGGTGCAATGTAAATTTATTTTTAGAGACGTCCACATGAGAAACAATTACCGTCCGAATAGGGCTAAAGATGATGATGGACTCACCTTCAATGTTCTTGGCCATGTCATAGTTGAGGACCATGGAGACGTCCTGGATGTCGATACCTCTGCCTGCCACGTCTGTGTCCACCAGGATGTCCTTAGCTCCCGCCTTTAGGTTGGAAATCATGTGACTAGCCACGTTAGTAGCACGTTCATGGGTTCGTAGGAGGCTAGGATCACAGAACTGGCTTCTCCACTGTGAATAAATCACCATCTGAATCCAGGAGTTTTATCACTGAGGTGCAATGTAAATTTATTTTTAGAGACGTCCACATGAGAAACAATTACCGTCCGAATAGGGCTAAAGATGATGATGGACTCACCTTCAATGTTCTTGGCCATGTCATAGTTGAGGACCATGGAGACATCCTGGATGTCGATACCTCTGCCTGCCACGTCTGTGGCCACCAGAGCATGTGAGCGGAGCGGAGCGTGAGCGGAGCGAGCGGAGTGGTAATATTTCCTTAAGAGCGCAGAGCGCCTTTCTGAAGATTCCGCTCCGCTCGCTCAAAACGCTCAGCGCCGCTCGCTCAATCCAGAATGCCGTTTGGTGATTTGCTTGTTCGAGATCGAGAATCTGTAGAGATCGAGAATAGTAGAGCAGTTATGGAGTTCAGATATTGTTTCAACGAAGTTGCAAGCCTTATACATAAATGTAAAGTAAAGTAAGTTAAGAATGAGCAGGGAGAAGAAACTGAGAGGGAGTGCGGGGAGAGTTAGTAAAGATTCATATTGAAATCTGAAGCGGCACATGCCAGAAAGCACGAGGATGAATTTACTCTAGTTTCATGTTGGCTTGTGAAATCCATTTAAAATGTCTTGTTATAATTTGGCTGTGTAATTTATGTAACTGCAGAACAGATTATCGTTAAAGATTTTTACACATCAATCTGCTATCAACCACTCATATAAATATAATTAAATGAATTTCAAACGACAAATTACTCGGTCTAAAGGACTTTATTATTTATGCACAGAGTGAATTGTTTTACTCATCCTTTGACTGAAATGGAGTATCTACAGATGCATTAATCATTTGGTATTTTTACATGATTTAAAACACAATTACATATAATGTGTAAAAAAGAAAAGATGTGTGCCGTTCTACAATGTCATGTTTGACTAACTGTGCATCAAGGGATGACTTCTCTCTGCTACAGCTTTCTTACAGATTTCTACACTTGTCATTGGTTTATCTGCCAGAAAACGGATCCCCTGGTTTACTGGTGGTCTCTTATAAACTTGGTTGCAAATAATCTGGTGGTAATACACAGCACACTCACACTCACACTCACTTGGCTCAAGCAAAGATGGTCTCCTCTCTCCTCTTCTTGGTAAGGATGGTGCCGGGCTTGTGCTGGGCGTCTGGGTGATTGGCGAGTGGGAGCGGGCAGTTGGACACGGGACTTTCTAAGATGGCCTGCTTCAGGTCGTAGAAAACAGAAGAGTCTTCTTTGGTCAGGAAAGTCATCGCCATACCACTCTTTCCAGCACGACCCGTTCGGCCAATACGATGGATATAGTCTGAGAAACGAAACACAGTTGAATATTAATCCTCCAAATAGGAATGTGAAACAGGAAGTCTCCTGATATAACCATTTGACAGTTCTAAAGGGCAAAGGATAAAAAGTGACAAAAGCCCTATTCAGACGGTAATCTAGCTACTAGCTAGTGGGTACGAAAGTTATTTTCACCATTTACAGGGGGTCGTCTGTGATTTTATTGCCGTCCGAATACAGAATGTGTGTTTTTCTTTCACCGTCCGCGTAAAAACCCCGGTCCGAATAAACTAATGTTTTGTGATAAACACTAGGGTTGTGTGATAATTCAATTGCCGTCCGAATCCGCATCTGAGTTTATGAGAAAAATTCAGTGTTGAAACCCTCTTTGACCACTCCCGAACACCATACGGTAACTGTTGTACTTCGCTGTAATTTGCATGCATGTTTATTTCTGAAATGCTGGAAAGTATTTACAAGAACAATATTTTATAACTGCTCCACCACAGCGAGTGGGAGCAGAAAGAGAAGAAAAGCACGTAAACATTCAACATGGGTGTTTATAATGGCAGCAGCAGGTATGCAATGCAGTATTAAAATGTATATTCTATAGTTATATAGATAACTATATCGCGTATAATTATATACAACTATAGTGGCATCTATTTTCCTTTTTTTTGTTTTGGATTTAAATGATCAAATAATAAATATATATTCTAAAATATACTTGGACTAATAAAAAGTCATTTTTAATACATTTTACACAATAAGAAAAAAATGGTATATAAAATTAATTTTAATTACAGCAGAAAATCATGTGACTAGCCACGTTAGTAGCACGTTCATGGGTTCGTAGGAGGCTAGGATCACAGAACTGGCTTCTCCACTGTGAATAAATCACCATCTGAATCCAGGAGTTTTATCACTGAGGTGCAATGTAAATTTATTTTTAGAGACGTCCACATGAGAAACAATTACCGTCCGAATAGGGCTAAAGATGATGATGGACTCACCTTCAATGTTCTTGGCCATGTCATAGTTGAGGACCATGGAGACGTCCTGGATGTCGATACCTCTGCCTGCAACGTCTGTGGCCACCAGGATGTCCTTAGCTCCCGCCTTTAGGTTGGACAGAGCAAACTCTCTCTGTTCCTGACCTTTACCGCCATGGAGTGTACAAGCATTGTACTGCAGGACAGAAGCAAACAAAGATTGAGAGTTTCTGACGGAGATATATTTCTAGAAAGCATCACAGACATTAATAAACACGGTGTACGCACTCCAATCTTCTCCAAAGACTTAGCCAGCACATCACAACCCTTCTTCTGGTTAACGAAGATGATGATGGGCGGCTCGAAGCCACTTGCCAAAACATCCAGCAGCTTCTTCCTGTTTACTACACAAGAACCTTTGTGAGAAAAGGGAAGTACACTTCTGACAACAACTTCCACTTGACTGGTGACTGGTTAGAGTTAATGTGCACTCAGACCTCTTTTCACCCTCGGACATGAGGATGACCTTCTGCTCCACCCTCTCGTGAGGTTTGCCTGCAGAGCCGATGTACACCACCGCAGGCCGACGGAGGTAGCTTCTGGCCAAACGCTCCACTGCAGGAGGCATGGTGGCAGTAAACATGACCGTCTGAAAAGACATGAGAAAGGACATTGTAGGAGGAAAAAACAAACACAAGAAACTTCATAATTCATTTTGCACAGTCAGTTATTTCCTATTAAACCATGGTAACTCATGATATCGGTTACCTGTCTGTATTTGTGTTTGCCTGACTCAAAGTTCTGCATCATTTTTTCGGGGTCCTCCGCATCATCTGTGTCTGGCTTTTGATTGGTCACAGGTATGTACTCCAGAATCTTCTGGACGTCGGGTTCAAAGCCCATGTCAATCATTCTGTCGGCTTCATCCAGTACCACATATGTGCATCTGCTCAGGACGAGGTATCGGTTTCCAACACGTCGATCAAACGACCAGGTGTGGCTATGACAATCTGAGAATGAGGAGCAAAACACATCAGATCTACAACTATAATGAGGTCTTCCATTATGAATGAATGAATATATATATATATACATTTTGACCGATAGCCGATGCCGATATATACATTGCTCATCAATGCTGCATTTCTTTGATCAAAGATACAGGAAAAAATGTAATATTGTGAAATATTATTATGATTTAAAATAACGTTTTTATATTTTAATATACATTAAAATCTAATTTATTCCTGTGATGCAAAGCTGAATTTTCAGCATCATTATTCCAGTCTTCAGTGTCACATGATCCTTCAGAAATCAGTATAATATGCTGATTTATTAACAGTATTGAAACTGTTGTGCTGCTTAATATTTTTTTGAAACCTGTGATACTTTTTTTCAGGATTCTTTGATGAATAAAAAGTTAAAGATTTATTTAAAATATAAATATTTTCTAACAATATAAACTACAGTTAAAAGGTTTGGGGTCAGTACATTTTTATTCTTTCTTTTTTTTAATGAAATTAAAACTTTTATTCAGCAAGGATGTGTTAAATTGGTAAGAAGTGACAGCAAAGATTTATATTTTGAATAAATGTTGTTCTTTTTAACTTTTTATTCATCAAAGAATCCTGAAAAAAAGAACTGCAGTTTCCAACAAAATATTTGGCAGCACAACTGTTGCCAACATTGATCATTCTAATAACAAATCAGTATACTGGAGTAATGGCTGATGGTAATTCAGCTTTGCATCACAGGATTTTAAAATAGAAACTATTCTTTTATATTGTAATAACATTTTGCATGATTATGAGTAATATTGTTTCAAATCAAGAAACAGGTTTGTGTTGCCTGATTATATTAATAATATAAAAAATGTAGTCTCTTAGAAATACGCATTTGATAGTAGCTTGAGTTAGGATGCAGATGTAGATTTATGTTCATTATCAAAATCAGTAATATCTTTAACTCGGTAATATCTGTATCTCATTTTTATATGGTGAAATGTAATTATTATATTATTATATATTATTATGGTCTTCTATAGTAGCATACATTTAGATCATGATAATCACAGTTAAAACCACAAATATAGCACCTCAATACCATGCAGTTACAGTTAGTGCTACTAAATCAATGGTAAACGATGGCGATTTGTAGATTAAAAGTCTTCAGACTGTATCGTTGTGCACAGTGTTTGTCAGCGCTGTATCATCTGGCTGTAAACAGAGTTATTTGTGTATATATATATATATATATATATATATATATATATATATATATATATATATATATATATATATATATATATATATATATATATAAAATATAATATAAGAAGAGTAAATCTGTTAAGAGGATAAATCTGTTTTTAAAAATGTTCAAAAATCATGTTTTTTGTTTCCTGCATTCCAATTAATATCAATCAAACTGCAGTTGGGTTGTTATGATTAAATAATAACTAAGACTACATAACTAAATAAATTCCATATATATATATATATACATATACATATACACACACACACACACACACACATATAACAATATAAATTAGTTTGTTTATATTTTTCATTTTATGTTTAGTTTTAGTATTTTTGTCATTTTTATAAAAAAATTTTAATGTCTATTTTTTATTATTAATTTGTATAATTAATTTCAGTTTTAGTTTTAGTTATTTTAGCACATCAAGTTAAACTAAATGTAAATGACAAATGTTGCTTTGGCAACTAGCTGAAATGTGTTTTGTTTTATTCCAGTAGGGCTGGGTGATATGGGCAAAAAATGATCACGATAATTTTTTTCATATCAGTCGATATCGATAATTATCACGATAAATGTCACATTTTTATTTCTTTCAAGTTTAAAGGCAGATTTTTGCTCCAATGTGAAAGTTGAAAAACCAGACGGTTAATTGTGGTTTTCAACTATACTTTGCCAATAGGAATGGCCTGCCTCTGGATAGGTGTGGGATCCTGACAAAGAATAAAAATGTATAGAATAAACATTTTTGATATATTCAAAGCATTTACATGGATGCCGTTTTAAACGCATGCTGAACAATCTAAACCTGTCTAATCATAGCAATTGAGAAGCACACCAAACAAATACAAACTGACCTTATAGCCACACTTTTCGATGACCTCTTTATGGTCAGAACATGACAAACACTTTTCTTTACACTTTCAGTCATTTTTCCTTAAAGTAAATATCTTAATAGAAAAAAATTATTTCTTAGTTCCGCACGTTCTAATGAGTAATATTGTTTCAAATCAAGAAACAGGTTTGTGTTGCCTGATTATATTAATAATATAAAAAATGTAGTCTCTTAGAAATACGCATTTGATAGTAGCTTGAGTTAGGATGCAGATGTAGATTTATGTTCATTATCAAAATCAGTAATATCTTTAACTCGGTAATATCTGTATCTCATTTTTATATGGTGAAATGTAATTATTATATTATTATATATTATTATGGTCTTCTATAGTAGCATACATTTAGATCATGATAATCACAGTTAAAACCACAAATATAGCACCTCAATACCATGCAGTTACAGTTAGTGCTACTAAATCAATGGTAAACGATGGCGATTTGCAGATTAAAAGTCTTCAGACTGTATCGTTGTGCACAGTGTTTGTCAGCGCTGTATCATCTGGCTGTAAACAGAGTTATTTGTGCTCCTCGCTGAATTCGAGTGCTTCACACTGGATCTAACAGTGCTGTTTGACAGAGACTCATCAGCGAGTGAACGCATCTGCTCTAGTGAGCTCGTGCCGCTGTTTGAACTTTGACCCGAGCTGATAAACGCTCCGAGTGGCACGCTTCAAATTCTGCCTTTGCCGCATAAACATTAAATTGAACATTTATCGAACTCTTGTTATCGTTTATCGAGAAAATTTATACCGCACGATAATTATCGTTATCGATTCATCTCCCCGCCCTAACTCCAAGTAACATTTTTTCTTTGTGGTTTTAATTTTAGTTAACTATAATAAACCTGCCACCAACATAAAAAAATAATTATCATTATGAATAATCAATAACAATTTAGAAATAATATGAAAGGGATTACGCTCTCACCTCACAACCCATCCTGAGTTTGAACCCTTGATCCTCTCTGGATATTCCACCGATCACAGCCACTGTCCGGATCCCCAGCGGTTTGCCGAATTTAATCGTCTCCTCCTCTATCTGCTGTGCCAGCTCACATGTGGGGGCCAGAATGACGGCATACGGTCCCTGATCGGAGTCCTCGATCCTATAGTCACAGACACATACAGAGTTTCCACATTTGATCTGATTCCACACAACAGGTGTTGGCATATAAAAGTGACAGAGAAAAGTGAGCGCTCACCTGTCAATCTTAGGCAGAGTGGTGATCCAGACCAATAAAGGAATGAGGAAGGCGGCGGTTTTACCACTACCAGTCTCGGCCACACCAATGATGTCACGGTTCTGTAAACCAATAGGAATGGCCTGCCTCTGGATAGGTGTGGGATCCTGACAAAGAATAAAAATGTATAGAATAAACATTTTTGATATATTCAAAGCATTTACATGGATGCCGTTTTAAACGCATGCTGAACAATCTAAACCTGTCTAATCATAGCAATTGAGAAGCACACCAAACAAATACAAACTGACCTTATAGCCACACTTTTCGATGACCTCCAGAATGTGCGGCGGCAGTGAATACTCCTTCCAGTTGCGGATGGGGTTGGGGATCTTTCCTCCTTTGGTCGTGATGCTGTAGTCCTCTCTGAAGATTCTCCAGTCTCTGTCTGTCATCTCATCCATCTTCTTCTGAGACCAGTGCCGGTCATCCCAGCGCTGCTTGGCCTCCTTCTTTCGGACCTTCTTCAGCCTCAGTCTGTGAAATACAGAAAATTTAATAGCATATACATTTAAACTGTGAAAATGTGATTATGCTAATTATGCCTGTCAGTGGGTAATAAACAATTCGTTTTTTTATTTTAGGGATTTTTTTAGTAAATACTGAGGGGGGAGATCACCAACTTTCCTTTCCAGTAACCACAATAAAAAAAACATAAAATATAATTGGTCGTACATACAAAAAATTGCAGTCTGTAATTATTATTTTTTTTTTTTTAAAGAAGTCTCTTATACTCATGAAATGTAATTATTATATTATTATATATTATTATGGTCTTCTATAGTAGCATACATTTAGATCATGATAATCACAGTTAAAACCACAAATATAGCACCTCAATACCATGCAGTTACAGTTAGTGCTACTAAATCAATGGTAAACGATGGCGATTTGCAGATTAAAAGTCTTCAGACTGTATCGTTGTGCACAGTGTTTGTCAGCGCTGTATCATCTGGCTGTAAACAGAGTTATTTGTGCTCCTCGCTGAATTCGAGTGCTTCACACTGGATCTAACAGTGCTGTTTGACAGAGACTCATCAGCGAGTGAACGCATCTGCTCTAGTGAGCTCGTGCCGCTGTTTGAACTTTGACCCGAGCTGATAAACGCTCCGAGTGGCACGCTTCAAATTCTGCCTTTGCCGCATAAACATTAAATTGAACATTTATCGAACTCTTGTTATCGTTTATCGAGAAAATTTATACCGCACGATAATTATCGTTATCGATTCATCTCCCCGCCCTAACTCCAAGTAACATTTTTTCTTTGTGGTTTTAATTTTAGTTAACTATAATAAACCTGCCACCAACATAAAAAAATAATTATCATTATGAATAATCAATAACAATTTAGAAATAATATGAAAGGGATTACGCTCTCACCTCACAACCCATCCTGAGTTTGAAGCCTTGATCCTCTCTGGATATTCCACCGATCACAGCCACCGTCCGGATCCCCAGCGGTTTGCCGAATTTAATCGTCTCCTCCTCTATCTGCTGTGCCAGCTCACGAGTGGGGGCCAGAATGACGGCATACGGTCCCTGATCCGAGTCCTCGATCCTACAGTCATAAACACATGCAGAGTTTCCCACATTTGATCTGATTCTGCAGAACAGGTGTTGGCATATAAGAGTGTGACAGAGAAAAGTGAGCTCTCACCTGTCAATCTTAGGCAGAGTGGTGATCCAGACCAATAAAGGAATGAGGAAGGCGGCGGTTTTACCACTACCAGTCTCGGCCACACCAATGATGTCACGGTTCTGTAGGCCAATAGGAATGGCCTGCCTCTGGATAGGTGTGGGATCCTGACGAAAATGTATAGAATAAAACATTTTGAATGTATTCAAAACATTTACATGAATGCCATATGCAACAAGCATTTTTAAACACTTGCAGAACAATCTAAACCTTATGTCAATTTAGAAGCAGGCCAAAAAAAAAACACACTAACCTTATATCCACACTTTTCGATGACCTCCAGAATGTGCGGCGGCAGTGAATACTCCTTCCAGTTGCGGATGGGGTTGGGGATCTTTCCTCCTTTGGTCGTGATGCTGTAATCCTCTCTGAAGATTCTCCAGTCTCTGTCTGTCATCTCATCCATCTTCTTCTGAGACCAGTGCCGGTCGTCCCAGCGCTGCTTGGCCTCCTTCTTTCGGACCTTCTTCAGCCTCAGTCTGTGAAATACAGAAAATTTAATAGCATATACATTTAAACTGTGAAAATGTGATTATGCTAATTATGCCTGTCAGTGGGTAATAAACAATTTGTTTTTTTATTTTAGGGATTTTTTTAGTAAATACTGAGGGGGGAGATCACCAACTTTCCTTTCCAGTAACCACAATAAAAAAAACATAAAATATAATTGGTCGTACATACAAAAAATTGCAGTCTGTAATTATTCTTTTTTTTTTTTTAAAGAAGTCTCTTATGAAATGTGATTATGCTAATTATGCCTGTCAGTGGGTAATAAACAATTCGTTTTTTTATTTTAGGGATTTTTTTAGTAAATACTGAGGGGGGAGATCACCAACTTTCCTTTCCAGTAACCACAATAAAAAAAACATAAAATATAATTGGTCGTACATACAAAAAATTGCAGTCTGTAATTATTATTTTTTTTTTTTTAAAGAAGTCTCTTATACTCACCAAGCCTGTAGTTAAAACAGTAAGAGTATTACAATTAAAAAAACTTTCTATTGTAATATATTTAAAAATGCAATTTACTTCTGCAATGAAAATCTGAATTTTCAGCATTGTTACTCCAGTCTTTAGCGTCACATGTTCCATCAGAAATCATCCTAATATACTGATTTGGTGCACAAGAAACGTTCCTTATTATCATCAATGTTGAAAACAGTTGCTTTAAAAATCTGATAACGATGTTCGCAGCGCAATATTTGACCAGAAGGATAAAAAATGCTATGGCTCGTTAAAATCAGACATAGAGATGAAATAGTGCAGTAAGATCACATTTATTTGAATTAATTATTGCATTTATTTGAATTATCTATCGATTGAAAGAAAGAAAGCGAGGAGAGAGAGAGAGAGAGAGAGAGAGAGAGATGACAGTTGTGTGTGAGTTACCTGCGCATCTCTCTACAAACAATGAAGCTTCGAACTCCTCGATGCTGAAGAATATAATGTAGTGATCTAGTATCTAGGCTATTTAATTAATAAAAGTCACGGGGCAGCGCTGACAACAAGCTTCTGTGTCTGCGCAGCACAATCAGCGATCTCCGACCTCTCTCTCTCTGTGTGTGTATTTGTGTGTATAATAACAGCATTTATTTGAAATAGAAAACCTTGGTAGCATTATAAATGTTTTTACTGTCATTTTTGACCAATTTAATGCATCCTTGCTGAACAGAAATTTTCAATAGAAAAAAAAAAATCTTACTGACCCCAAATTTTTGAATGGTAGTGTGCATACAATATGAAATGTAACGTGTGGGACTTACTCCTCTTGCTCCTTCTCTTCAAGGGTCCGTCTCTTCTCCATCAGGTCTCCGTAGAACCGGGACTGATCTCTCTTCTGCTGCTTGAGGTCGATGCCGGCGATGAAGCCTCGACGGTACAGCTAAACCTGATGCTTTTCTTTATAACTAAACACATAAACAAAGTCAAACCTGTGTTCTTGTACGGTCAAGTAATGCTTTAGCTTCTGTGTCATATATACTATAGAAGTATGTACAATCCAACTGGCTAAACATTTGCAGACTTAAAAAGAGTGACCTAAGGCAGTCAAGATCAAATGCAATGCAGTAAAATACACAAAATAATCTGGACTTTTATGTGCAAATAGCAAAGCAGTGCAGTTATTTCTGGCATCTCATGAGATGCTCACATTGGATTGTAGTCGGTTGATGTGTCTTCAGACGCATCCCACTCAAAGACAAACTTCCTGTCATTCAGATGGCGTGTACGCCGCCGTTTCTTCATACCACCAAGATAACGCTCCTGAAGAGAAAATAAATAAGTATTGGTTCACTGTTCGTCAAAAAGACACATAACCACCTAATGCACTTCATTTCACAACAGAAAAAAATTTATGGAAAGATGATTATTCTTATACGGAGCCACGATTTGCTGAGCTTATTCCCAAAGGGATATTTAGTAACAGTTTACTTATGTTTAATGCTTTTTGTACATGCCACATTCAGCTTATTGCCAAACAACTACATTTTACAAGAAAATACTATTTCAGTCTTTCTACTTGAAAACATCACTTTTAATTCAAAGTGTTACTAGCTGTTTCTTTTTAATTATTTGTTAAATTTACTAGCAATTTCTGAGTAAAAATGGTTTCAAAACAAATCCTACAACAAACTTAAAGTGCAATTGTTAAAATTCTGTGCAGTCTAGTATTTTCACATTTTACTCTATAATAAAGATTAAATAAAGACTTAGAACTTGTAAATATACACTGAACAAAATTATAAACGCAACACTTTTGTTTTTTCCCCCATTTTTCATGAGCTGAACTCAAAGATCTAAGACTTTTTCTATGTACACAAAAGGCCTATTTCTCTCAAATATTGTTCACAAATCTGTCTAAATTTCTGTTAGTGAGCACTTCTCCTTTGCCGAGATAATCCATCCACCTCACAGGTGTGGCATATCAAGATGCTGATTAGCAGAGGCGGACAGTAACTAAGTACATTTACTTGAGTATTGTACTTAAGTACACTTTTTGAGTATCTGTACTTTACTTGAGTATTATTTTTTCTGGGAACTTATGACTCTAACTTCACTACATTTGAAAGACAAATATTGTACGTTTCACTCCACTACATTTCTATCAAGGTCCTTGAAGTAGAAAGTCGTTAGCAGCTTTGAAAGTCAGTGGGTGATTTTTTTTCTTCTCTAAAACATGACTTTTTTTCAGACAGTTTATCAGTAATCACTCTTGTAGGGCTACATGAAGTGATTTCCCAGCATTTTTTGAGCACTGACCAGTTGCAAATGTCATATTTATTTGCAACAATTCTATATTAAGAAGTTAATATTGTGGTATATATATTAGACACAATATTGTCTGATTTTGCTAAATTGTGTACGTGAAGAAAATGTTTGTCTTGCAAAGAAGAAAGTATTTTGAGCGCACTAAAATCTATTTTTCATTTAAAATAAGTTTTTGGATTTGTGTAGACTTTTGTGCGTGCAACGTTTCACTAGCTTGCTCACCTGATGCCCGCCCTCAGTGCTTTCTAAATGCCAACAGCTTCCGTGCTCAACACAGCCCAGCGTTACAATGTGCCATAATTCCAGCCAATCAGAGACCGAGGCTGCTAAATTCTGATTGGCTGCCTTGACAACCAATCACAACATTTCTTGCATTACCTCGACAGCAGAAGAGGAAAAATACAGTGCATGCATAATTATTATGCAAGTTGATATTCTGATCATATTTTTTTCCAAGCACATTTTACCAATAATTATAACTACTATTAATCTTGTATTTAATCACTTATAATCTATATATTATTGTTCATGAAGGCTGGAAGTGAAAAACGCCTTATATTCAGGTGTGCATAATTATTAAGCAGGTTATCTTCTACAGATAAAATCTCGAGATGGACTAAAAATGAACTCCCAAAACTTACTGCCAGATTCTGGAAGATAAATTCTTCAAACAGTGGTACAAGAGGATGTGGTGCTGGTCCTTCAAGAGTCACTCTCAGCTTATCTGTCTATTAAACCTATATACAGTGGGGCAAATAAGTATTTGATACACTGCCGATTTTTCAAGTTTTCCCACTTATATGCATTCACTTTGCAATTTCTAGTATTGTATTTGTTTTGAATATTTCTCATGGGCATTTAATAATTTGTTACTTTCAGTCTGAGTTAAATCTCTTTTTTGCCTCATTTTATCTGTAAAAGAAAATCTGCTTAATAATTATGCACACCTGAATATAAGACATTTTTCACTTCAGCCTTCATGAATAATTATATATCAATTATAAATGATTAAATACAAGATTAATAGTAGTTATTAAGATTGATGTCGTTTGGAATTGGTAAAATGTGCTTGGAAAAAAATATGATCAGAATATCAACTTGCATAATAATTATGCATGCACTGTATTTTTCCTCTTCTGCTGTCGAGGTAATGCAAGAAATGTTGTGATTGGCTGTCAAGGCAGCCAATCAGAATTTAGCAGCCTCGGTCTCTGATTGGCTGGAATTATGGCACATTTGCTGGGTTGTATTGAGCACGTGAGCTGTTGGCATTTAGCAGCACTGAGGGCTGGCATCAGGTGAGCAAGCTAGTGAAACGTTGCACGCGCAAAAGAGAAGGTCTACACACATCCAAAAACTTATTTTAAATGCAAAATTGATTTTTGTACGCTCTAAATACTTTCTTCATTGCGAGACAAACATTTTCTCCACAAAACTGAGTTTGCGCGTGTACAAAACGCACTTTTGCAGCAGAATTGTAATCCCATATAGGTGTTGGACTTGAAGCAGCACTGCACAAACCGTTCTCTGTGTGACATCAAAGTACCGCGAGAGCGATTAGACAGCATTTTTCAAATGTTTGTTTTTATGTCAAATAAGTCTTGCTGTTTTGCTTTTTTGTTAAAGCAGTGTTGCCGTTGTGGTTAGTTTTTAACAAGAAATTATTTGTTAGAATTAAATAAAAAATAACAAAGTTATTTTATGACAGTACAATGAAGATTTGAAAATAAATAAACTATATTCAATCGCTGTATTTTTTATTTTATTTTTTCAGAAAGATGCAGTGGTAACCTTAACATTTTATTTTAAGATTTAACATTTGTAGATGGTCTAAAGCAAAAGAGTTGTAAAAATTGTGAAAATCTTTTAGAGCTCATAATTTATTTAAAAAATATAACATTACACATTAATGAATAAATCAGTATATATAAAATTATTTATTCAAGTGTCGTGTTTTTTTTGTTTGTTAGTTTTTTCATGTAGTTATAGTTTCTGACCTTTAAATCAAAACATGATTTAACGTTGCCCAGCAGTTCTTAAATATATACATGCATGTGTATTTATATATACATAAATATACACAGTACAGACACATATATTATATAAACAAAAACTTTTATTTTGGATGCGATTAATCGCGATTAATCGTTTGATAGCACTAATATATATATATTTATATATGTATTAGGGGTGTAACGATTCACTCGTTTTCTCGATGCATCGATTACAAACCCTGACGATGCAATGCATCGATCTTGAAACATGGATTTTTGAATCGTGAATCGCCGGTTTCGGACAGTAATCGATTTAAAACGCTAAGAATCGAGTGAATCGCGATTTCTATAGCGATTCAATGCTTTCAAAATATATATACATATTAAATTACTACAAGCAGGAATTAATGGAGACCTTGTTCGTGCCTCGCATCTCTCCTTCACGCGCTGCACTATTTACCGCCTGTGACTGTCACATGCAAAATTGATTTTTGTACGCTCTAAATACTTTCTTCATTGCGAGACAAACATTTTCTCCACAAAACAGAGTTTGCGCGTGTACAAAACGCACTTTTGCAGCAGAATTGTAATCCCATATAGGTGTTGGACTTGAAGCAGCACTGCACAAACCGTTCTCTGTGTGACATCAAAGTACCGCGAGAGCGATTAGACAGCATTTTTCAAATGTTTGTTTTTATGTCAAATAAGTCTTGCTGTTTTGCTTTTTTGTTAAAGCAGTGTTGCCGTTGTGGTTAGTTTTTAACAAGAAATTATTTGTTAGAATTAAATAAAAAATAACAAAGTTATTTTATGACAGTACAATGAAGATTTGAAAATAAATAAACTATATTCAATCGCTGTATTTTTTATTTTATTTTTTCAGAAAGATGCAGTGGTAACCTTAACATTTTATTTTAAGATTTAACATTTGTAGATGGTCTAAAGCAAAAGAGTTGTAAAAATTGTGAAAATCTTTTAGAGCTCATAATTTATTTAAAAAATATAACATTACACATTAATGAATAAATCAGTATATATAAAATTATTTATTCAAGTGTCGTGTTTTTTTTGTTTGTTAGTTTTTTCATGTAGTTATAGTTTCTGACCTTTAAATCAAAACATGATTTAACGTTGCCCAGCAGTTCTTAAATATATACATGCATGTGTATTTATATATACATAAATATACACAGTACAGACACATATATTATATAAACAAAAACTTTTATTTTGGATGCGATTAATCGCGATTAATCGTTTGATAGCACTAATATATATATATTTATATATGTATTAGGGGTGTAACGATTCACTCGTTTTCTCGATGCATCGATTACAAACCCTGACGATGCAATGCATCGATCTTGAAACATGGATTTTTGAATCGTGAATCGCCGGTTTCGGACAGTAATCGATTTAAAACGCTAAGAATCGAGTGAATCGCGATTTCTATAGCGATTCAATGCTTTCAAAATATATATACATATTAAATTACTACAAGCAGGAATTAATGGAGACCTTGTTCGTGCCTCGCATCTCTCCTTCACGCGCTGCACTATTTACCGCCTGTGACTGTCACAGGATTGCGCTTGCGCTCAGTTCGTCTCACTGACAGTACTCGGCCAGTAATGCTGAAGTGAAGTAGTTTTACTTTTCTTTAGTTATTCAATGGCTCTCGGTCATACCGACGACATTATCTGAGCAGTCGAAGGCTGCGCATTTATTGCAAGGACGGAGCAAAAATGTAAGAGTCTAAAGCATACGCACAGTTCCATTGAATGAGAAATGTGTTTTAACAATGTTGTTAAACCGAATGTACGAAGGAAACTGTTAAACTAACCACAATTCACTCGTTTTCTCGATGCATCGATTACAAACCCTGACGATGCAATGCATCGATCTTGAAACATGGATTTTTGAATCGTGAATCGCCGGTTTCGGACAGTAATCGATTTAAAACGCTAAGAATCGAGTGAATCGCGATTTCTATAGCGATTCAAT